CGACGCTCTGCTGCAATGCCTTGCTGTGATACACCGTTATGACGCACAGCCGCAACGGAGCTTCACGACGCCAAGCGCAACTCACCATTGCAACGCTCCTCTGCAATGCATCGCCATGATGCACCGCCTCAACGCATCACGTCGGTGCGACGCCCCGCTGCAACACGTCGCTGCTATGCTCAGACGCAACGCATCACCACGACTCATTGTCACGACTCATCAACATGATGCGCCGCTGCGATGCATCGCTGCTAGGCGCCGCGACGCGCTACCCTCCTCTTCTTTATGCCTATTTATATCATCAAAAAGAACATTGCCCATTAAATGCACATTAATAAATAAATTCAAAAACAAGTGCAATCATTAAATGCTGATAAAAAAAAAACTTTTCATATTCCAAGAAAAAACGGGTTTTCATAGTTAAAAAAAAGAAAGTGAAAAAAGAAAAAATTCTTTTCATATTCTCATAAAAAAAACAAAAAAAAAAGAGATTTTTGTCCTGGGAGGCTTTGAACTTAAGATTTGCCATATACTTTACTTCAAATATTATAGATATATGTTTATCTTACTTAAAAAGAGAGATTAAGAATATTATCTATGAGCGATAAAGATGAAGTGGATTTGGATATTAATATTTTCAGACGATAAAATTATATTCGCTCAAAAATAGGGGGGCAAGTGATATGTCACCAACAAATTTTCATTATCCGACACAAATCTCGAAGCATGATATGGATCTCAGGATAATATTTTCAGCAATGGATGTTGAAACCTTCATAAAATCTCATCCAGAACTCTAATTTTAATAAACTTATAGTTAAACTGATCCGCTCGATAAGACAGACCTAATGATATCAAAGTCATTCCAATCCGAGTCAAATTAAGCCCAGATCAAGTCATTAAACCATTTTTGGAAGATTTTCGCGCACATTTAGAAGGTCAAACGGTTATCAAATCTGACAAGTTTATAGTCGAATCGAGAGTCTCAACAAGACGAATCCAACGAACCTAAGATTGCATAATTCCGACAGAGTTAAGACACTCAAATGTACATAAAACTTCGTTTGATTGGAGAAAGCTATTCGGACCGTTTGATCAAAATTATTCATATTTATGCATTAATGACACTCAGAACACTATAAATAGAGCTCTACTCCTCATATGAAGGGGAGACTAGAAGCTTCAGAGAGAACTGGAATCTCTAAGAAGAAGTTGAAGTCCAGCGCCATCCCGACTGTCGTCGACCAACGCTGATCACCATCGACTACCGTCGGTCGTTTTCGGCACTCGTCGATTACTGTTAGCCACTGTCGCCCCCCGTCGGTCGTTTTCGGCACTCGTCGATCACTGTTAGCCACTGTTAGCCACTGTTGACTGTCACTGACGATCACCACCAATCATCATTGATCATCAACAACCAGACGTCGTCAATCATCGTCTTGGGACGAGCTCATCACTACGGCCCGTGTGTCAACAACGACCTATGTGGTTCATAGCTCATGCAACTCCTGACTCCGCTCCTCGCGGCCTACGAATATCATTCATATTCGCCCCTACGGCCTACATGGCTCACAGCTTGTGCAACTCCCGAATCCGGACCGAACGACCTACAGACGTCATTCATACTCGCTACTACGGCCTATGTGGTCTACAACTCTCGTAACCGCTTACTACAGTTTTTTTGGTCAATCAACGCTTCTGAAGCAACAATCTACGACACTCATGACAGACTACTACCTCCATGACAATCAACGATGATTCTTGCAACATCTGTCATCAAGAATTACAGTCAGATTATAGTTATACAACTTTGTAATTTCATCTTTCCTAATTTAGGAGAAGGATAGACTTGTGTACTAATCATTCATAGTGGATTCTTGCAACATCTAATCATTCATGACAGACTACTACTTACTACAGTTTTTTTGGTCAATCAACGCTTCTGAAGCAACAATCTACGACACTCATGACAGACTACTACCTCCATGACAATCAACGATGATTCTTGCAACATCTGTCATCAAGAATTACAGTCAGATTATAGTTATACAACTTTGTAATTTCATCTTTCCTAATTTAGGAGAAGGATAGACTTGTGTACTAATCATTCATAGTGGATTATTTCAATTGGGCTAGGCCCCGTGTTTTTTCCCCCTTTTAAGTTTTCCACGTAAAAATTGATGCGTCTTCTTTTGCTTACTTTTCTTTTATTTGTGTGTTGCATTCTCATGCAACGCTAAAACGATAATTAATTACTCTATCGCCACGAATTTTCTAGCACGCATCACAAAATATTTCCTTAATTACAAATATTCCTAAATTATAGAGATTTGAAGAGATTGAAGTGTATATAAATATGTAACATCTGTTTTCAATCAGGCAATATGAGAAAGAATAGTTTCCATTCACAATATTTAATGGATCTAGAAGCTTTCTAATCAACAAGCAAAAATATGGTGCTAGTCATAAAAAAGCATTTTTCCTTCTAAGATGTCGATCCACATAAAAATCAAAACAAAGTCTCTAATGTAGGTGTTGTTCCATACTAAATTTGCTATCTTGAGGATTGAAATATAGCAACACTGCATTGAAGTAACGTAAGTTTTAGTGTCCCTTAATAAATCTTTTGAATTATCATAAGGAATTATGAATCATCGTCATTTTTTAAAAAAAGTTTGGTGATATTTATTGTTTCAACACTTAAAGCTCGTATCAAGTTTGCGAAAGAAACAAGTATATAAGAATAAGACATTGTTTAAAATTATGCATATGAGGCACGCTTTGAGACCTGCTTCAACGCTTATTACAAAAAATCACATTAAGTCTTATGCCTCATTGTCCTAAGGTAAGGCGTACACCTTATCTCGGCTGAAGCGCATGTCTCACCTCAAAAAACAAATCAAATTTTGGAGGTTATTTGTAATTTTTTAAGGAAAATTAAAGTAATAACAATATACATTATCTATTAACCCTCACACCTCATAAGAGTAAATAACAAGTAGTAAAAGGAAAAGGTATCAATAAAATTTATATAGTTAAAATTCTAACTATCAAAAGGGCTATTATTTTAATCAATATTTTTATTAATGATTGTTCATTAAAAGTAGAAAATAATTAGGATTTAAAGATAATAAAAGAGTATGAGAATATATATACGACTCAAAATAAGATGCAAGATAAATAATTCATTATGTTGATGATTTTAATAAAAATTAATTGGGTGATGAGAGTAATAGGGACTTTAAAATAAAAAATTCAAAAGTTAATAACTTGTTATATTCTTGTATAAGTGGAGAATAGCATAAGTGAGATAGAAAAATTAATGTTGAACTTATTTTTATAATTATGTTTTGATATTTTAATATTTATTTTCAAACCTTAGCTTACTTTGATAATTTAAAATTTGTATAATCCATTTTATTTCATAATTTAATGTTAGGAGATTAACATGTTACTTCTAATTTAACACATTTTATTACTTTTACTTAGTTTAAATGTAATTATATTACTTTTTAATGTGTTAATAGATTAGAATATTAATATATAATTTCTAACTTCACACTTTATAATTTATGCAATATTTATTACTTTACATAGTTTTTAAATTTGAGGCTTATACCTTGAGGTTTACGACCGGCCTCGCGAATAAAAAACATCTCAATACCCATTGCACAATTTTAAACCTTGGAATATGGATAACATGAACTCTGTAATAAAATCTGAAACCATGTAAAAAAATTAAAATTAATTAAAATATCTGACACTTTTATGATCTGCTTTCAAGCAATTGGCTTCGCCATCCAGCATCAGAGACCTAAGATGTAACTTGTGAGACAAATAACACATAAGAAAGCTCCACCTATATTGTTTGTATGTATTATAGTGTGATGTATAGCCATGTTCCTCACCTTTCAGCTTAGCAAGAAATCGCTGTTGATCTCAGTTTCCCTCAATATTTCATACAAATAAAACAGATAAAATATTGAAGGATGAAATCCCCCCACCATAGTAGAAAACCAGGAAAAATGACGATGTATTTTCTTTAATAGACCGAAATTACACAAAAAGAAGAACCATAATTATAACTAAAATAAACAAAGGGTCCATCAACTAAAAACGGATACAACTGTGAAAGCAATCATCAATCAAAGACGGAATCTAGGAAGATCGATCTCCAGTTATTTGGCTATGGGGGACTGATTGGCAACAATTAGCATGTAACTCGAGTAGGATTTACTTAAATTCAAATATAATAAATCTTGAGGGTTAAAACTGAAAAATATTTGGCATAATAACTATTGAATCATGTAAAATTCTGACCACTTATTTGCCTATTTGTTCAAATGCCTAAGACTTGTGAGGTTGGGAGTTTCATAAATCCAATAAATCTAGCGAATGTTCGAATTTAATCAATAAGGAGGCTGAAATGAGATTTAGGGTTTAGGCTTTCACAAAATTAAAGCTAAATCTTGCTTAAATCCTGCCAAAAAGTAGGATGGCAAACAGCGCCTTAAAACTTAAGACCTGGATGAAATGTAAGAACAATAAATAAAAAATCCTATCTGCACGCTTCAATACCGAGAGTACTTAACGCAAACCCCAAGTCTTCCCCAACCCCCTTTTTCCATCACTGCTTCATTTCACTTTAGATATTCCATTAGTCGAAGAACAAAATAACACGGTATAGACTAAAAAATCCTGGTAATGAGATGATGATTATGATGAAGACGATTAGACGAAGCCGCAACCTCAGTGGATCTATTCACCAATAAGAAGACACACATGGAATGCCTCTGCCAGTACTGAATAGCAACTAAAATGAAAACCATCACCTTAAGGTCGAAACCCGATCGGCACCAAAACGCATACAGCTAAAACATCTCGCCAAAGTGTGAACTTCATGTAAGAAATTGATTAAGAAGACGATCGGATGATCAGGTGATCAGATCTTAGGCAAAGATGGAAGGACGAATACCTTGCCACTGATGACGAGCCAGCAATCCTCCCGGGAGTTGTGTTTCGCGACCTCCGAAAGGGCGTAGACATTCGTTTTGTCTTCTCCGCTGCCCATCTCTCTTGGCTTACCTCGATCTCAGTCTCAACCTTAAAAATTATAAAGCCGACACAGGGCGGCTGAGATCGGTTGGTGGGCAAACCGTGGGTGCCGCCCGCCTTTTAATAGGTTTTGTTATATTATTATTAATGGCGAGCGCCAACCACAAGTCGATACCTTGCATTTTTTATAGATCCCCCCAACAAAAAAGGAAAATTGCTAGGCTTTAAGAAAGATTTTGATGATAATTTTTTTAGGTTTGTAAGAGAAACTGTCATTCCCTTTAAAAACATTTTGATACAATTTAATATCAAAATATTATATAATTTTTATTCTTTGCATGATGGTCATTGATAACAACTTCGATTTTGTAATTAAAAACTAAGTTCAAAATAATAAAAAAAACAGTTTTATTTTCTTGTCAAGCTTCGTTTGAGAACGATTATTCTGCTCTGTTTAATCGCGCACAATGACGCGTCAGGAAAATATATGTTCGGTAATCGTCCGTTTTCGACATGTCTTTGAATGTCTGAGAGAAAGAACACAAAAAAAATGAGCGTTTCAAAATGGGAATTGAGGATGGTGTTCTGCGACAAAACTTTTGAAGGGGCTACTACTCCACGCTGACAATCTCGCCGCCGATGAGCTGTACTACTCATATCCCAGCTGCACCATCTTCCTGTCGTCTTCAATGGCATCAGATTTGTGGAGCTTCTTCAGCAATCGGAAGGCTTCGTTGGAGAATCTTGGTTTTAATAATCCTATCAGAAGATTTAAGTGGAGAAGATGATCAAGCTCGCAAATGAATTTTCAGAGGTGACAGGGTTATTATAGTAATTTATATGTTATATAATAAAGTTAAAAAACACACACTTAGGCTCCGTTTGAACGGTTTTCGTCGTTCAGTGAAGCTCCTTCAAAAGTTCCATTGCAGAACGGGATGAGACAGGAGCAGTTGAGAATGAAAAAATTTCTACATTGGATTACTTTGGTGTCGAGAGACGTTTCGAAAACGTCAGGTCGCCAAATGATGCCTTCTCCGGCGGCTGCATTGAGTGCATTAGAAGGGAAGATGAATGCGTTCTCAAACCAGCCCTTAATTTTCTATTCAAACAGTCATTCAGTTTTGCGGACTATAGGTTTATAATGATTTTTTTTAGAATGTAGCTTTTAAACTGACTTTTTTCACCGATGAAGTCCTGTCAAACAAAGCCTTAGTTTAAAGAAACTTCATAATGTTGAGAAATTTGTTTGATAATGTTTTAACCCAAGATAAATTTTTTTTTTATTTTAAAATAATCGTAATAAAAATTTAATTAATTAATAATACGTTACATTCATTTTGAAATAAATCTAATATGTATCATGACAAATTTTATGTGAGGATATTCTAACTAATTTTTTTCCAATTCACAATCCATTTGAGTCATTGCAATTGTATAACTAAGAACCCTATGATCAAATTCAGAATAAGGCTGAGAGTTAAGCATATGATTTAATGAGAATGTTCTCAACATATAAGAATGAAGCAAAAGTCGGGAGTCCAATTCAACCAATTCGACAGGAAAACTCGATAGAACTTGCTTGTTTGACAGTCATATAATACAACAAATAACAATCCAAGTTAACATGTTTAACTAAAATAGTTGGCTTAATCATTTTGGCTAAGGGACTGTTTTGGGCAGCCACAGCTTAATAAGTTTCTCCACGACGGCTATCATAGGAAGCTGTTGCAGATAAGCTGACTGTCTGCTTGTATTTTGTAGTTTGACAACAGTTGTGCTGCAACTATTTCTGGATAAATGACTATTATGCTCATATATAATAATGTTGTTTGCTATAGAATTGTTCATACCCGTACATTTTATACTTTAAAAGCAAATATCCAGTACAGAACATTACAAAATAAAGATAGATACCTCACTTAACAGTGAGTGCATGACTACCAAAATTAAGAAAATGATTATTAAAATGCAAATAATGTATGTTCACAATATGTCATGAGTTAAGAAAATGATTATTTACAAAATGCAGATAACATATATCATGAGTTAAGTTGTCATCCATGGATACTCTCGTCGTCATCCATGGATACTCTCCATGTCTGATCACTCTCAATGATGGAATCTTTCATTTCAAAAATAGTTATAGTTTTCAACAATTCTCTGCGGTTGTAAAACTATCTCCTGTAGTTATGTAAATGCTGTAAAGTGGGCAAGGAACATTGAAGTCCACAGTAGCGATAAAATCTTTTGGAGGTACCAAACATCCTCAAGCTCATCTTTTCTGAAAGCTTAAAAAACATACTCTTAGACATGGCACATAACAAAATTAATAAGAGAAATAATTAATTGTTGTTTTTTAGCTGTGAGGTCTAAAAGATATTAGTATATAAACCAATAAATTTATCATTACAAAAAGACAACATACCTTATAAAAAAAAGGGTTATTGATTATCTTTAACTCACATAATACTGAGCTTGCGTGTGTCACATATGCATATCACAAAAAAATCATCCAAAATAACCTCAAAAACCATAACACCAAAAAATGTGAGGAACTTGATTGCTCTCATTAGGATTTCACATCTGACACAAACCAATAGCAACATACAAACTATCAAGAAAAACCCATAAATTAAAAAGTTTCTACATCGACCTCCAAAACTATTCAAAAAGAAAAAAAAAGAAATGCAAAAGGAACAAAAAACATACAAATTGCGTAAAAACTAAAACAATAAATATCAAATGCATAAAAAATATAAATAAATATGAATTGTATAAAATACAGATACAATAAACAATGAATGTTTTCAACAACCATTACAATTAATAAAAATAAAACTAACATTTCCTCCAATCACCCTCTAACAATCGCAAATGTAATTCGTTTCTTCAACTCTGTCATCTTGCATGTATCATCCCCGTCTTGAGTGCAGGTCTCAGGATCATCATTTTTGGTCTGTGACAAAGACTGTTCAAGATGACAGTCATATGTCATGGCAGGAACATGTGCATGATCATCGCCTGCCCTACGGAAGTCGATATCGTTGTGGGAAGGATGTTTGTTGAATATAATTATGAAGCCTTCGTGACAATCATAATCTATACCTAGTTGGGCAACAGGTAATATGACGTATCACGAAGTATAACCAATTTCTTCTTCCAAACTCCAAAATTCCTATCCATGACACCGAGTAAGAAAAAATTCTTTTGTTGAACATTTCTTTACTGCCCTGCTTGACATTGCTGACTCACTCAAAATCAGATACGTAGTATCTCGTATTAGGATAGAGCTTGAGATAGCCTCCCTGCAACAAATACCCAACATCGACCAAATATTATTTACCTGATGTGAATTAAATGATTAATTTTGAAGGAAAAAAAATTAGGAGAGCAGCTTAGTCTCAAGAGAACCTATGGGAGAATGTGGGAAGTTGTATTTGTTATTTTGTGTTGCATATTTAAAAATTCGACTGTTATGTGCACAGTCATCCCAATCGGTCATGATAAAAGTAAAACAAATGTTGAAGTCGCACACCATCATTAATTCTGTGTCAGAGACCAACAACAATCGATGAATGCAATCTTCTTATTGTTTGGAACATGTGTTAGAGGATGTGTCGGGTTCATTGGTACATGAAGCCACAAACTGTGAGATGTACCCACCACTCATCGGAAGCATCAATCATTCGCTTTACCAGATCCCACCCCAAGCCCTTTGATCCTCGCTTCAATTCATTCCAGATTTTTCAAATTTTCTTTAGCTGATCCTACTTGTTTTTAACTGCATTCTATCATACTATCTACTTGTACTTTTATTGAATTTTTCAATAATATTTTACCTGTCTTCATTGTTGAAATAGTTTGTCGGCGGCATATTTTCCAGTCCAAACTTCTTAAGGCAAAAGTTGCAAATATTAATTTTATCTCTTTATCCCAAATTGTAGATGAACCGTCCACTTTTGTCTTAGCCATTGTATTGCTAGCATGAAAAAAAATAATCAACATAAATAGGAATGCCACAATATCGCAACTCAAAGAAGAAATGAATGTCACAATATCATCACTAATGCCCCTCCACACCACACTACACCTACACATCCCAACTGCCACCACCTCCGCACACAAACACCTCCATAAACCAACAAATAACACATCCACAACACCACCACCACCATCTTCACATACAAAAACCTCCACACAAATACAAGCACAAGCTAACCACCACCTTTGTGCATCCACCAACACATCTGCTAACACCAACACAATCACACACCAACCACCACCTCTACAACAACACCACCTTCACACATCCACCAACACAACCACACACCAACCACCACCTCCACAGATCCACCATCACATCCTTGACTACAAAAATAACCACACACCAACCATCACCTCCACTACACTACCATCTCCACACACAAACCAACGTACACCACCACTTTCACATCCACAACATTGCTATCAAAAAGTCAAGCAACTTCTTTCAGACATTTTTCAAATTCTCTGTCAAACATCAAAGGTAAAGATAAAACCTCACCCCATATTTTTCATTTGATGCAATTCCATATAGGGCACTCAAAACATTGTTATCAACAAATCAAACACCGTCTTTCAGCATTTTTTCAAATTCTTTGCCAAACATCAAAGGTAAAGATAAAACCCCACCTCATGTTTTTCATTTGATGCAATTCCATACAAGGCTCTGGAAACATTGCTATCAACAAATCAGACACCCCCCATTTTAGCCATTTTTTGAATTCTCTTTTAAACAAGAAAGGTAAAGATAAAACCCCATCTTAATTTTATCATTTGATGTAGTGTTGACCTCATTTTTGGTTGAGGTCTAGCTTTTTCCTCTTTAGTGGCCTAGGGTTAGCCATAGGACTTTCTTTTGACTATTCCTAGAGGACTAGAAAAGGAACCCTCACCATTAGAAATTCTAAACTCTTCTTTGCTCAACTTGTAGTTCCACATATTGGTCATAACCTCTAGCACTTAGTAGGTGGGGTCAGTATGGGAGAACTCAAGGGGAGTCTCCTATAGGATGGTCATACCTTAGGACTAACCTTGGGCGATTTGGTGATGATTGAAATGACTTGCACACATTGCTC